CCCGCTCGGCCAGGCCCGCCCTGCCGGCCCCGGGGAAGGGGGCCGGGGGACCAGGCGGGAGAACGAGCTGCCTCACTGACATTCACAGGCGCTGCCTCACGGGAGTCTGCGGGCCGGTATTTTATAAACGCTGCTCAGCGTCATTTAATGTTGAATTGTCCTCCAAAGCCTGTTGGTGGTCACCACGCTCAGAAAGAAGAACGAGCAGCGGCTGCTTCAGCCGAGAAGCGGTGGTCAGGGCAAGGGGCACGGCCTCCTCCGCGCTCCCTCGCCCCTGTGCAGCGTGGCCGCGGCTCCCACCACCTTGCTGGGGAGCGCTGCAGGCCACGGAGAGCCTGCGGGCCTAGGGACGGTGTGTGGTGGCTGGGCCCGGTCCTGTGGAGGCCCAGGCGTAACGGGTGAGTGGAGGTGCCAGGGAGGGGTGTGATGAAACCCGTGTCCACCCATGCCCAGACTGTTTACCAGACTAAACCTGAGAACCACCACCATGGCTTTGGACAGCCTATGGGTCTGCTCTCTCTTATTTGAAAGAGTAGGTGCCTATAAAATTCAGTCCAACAGACCTACTGTGAGGATCCGTTACAGGTTGTGAAGGAACTTGAACGGGAGATGTACTATTGTACTAAAGTATGTGTTGTGGGTTTTTTTCACTGAGGAACCTGAAGTGTCCTACAAAGTCAGCCATCATCATGGGGATGTGAAGTGTGAGAAGTTAAACGCTTTACAAGAAGTCTTACTATAACATGGTGTTCCATTTTGCCTCCCTTAAGACCTGTGCTCCTACCTTTAAAACCACAGCTTTCCTAATAAAGTCGAAACAGTAAAGTGCAGACAGCCAAAACCACATGTTCCACTTTAAACCATTCTCTGCCTTAAATTAATTCATTTTTCCCTTAAACATCAGTATTATATTAATGACTAACATCTTCCCACATCCTCTGATTGCTTTTAAAAGGGGGAAATCCATTCTCTACCTCCCTGTTTGTTCTGTGTCTCCAAAAATTTATTTGCCAGTGATTAGCTTTTCCCTGTCAGTATTTTTTCCTGTAGTTTACATTATCTTTGCTCAGTGTATTACAACATACTGTTTACTCCTGTTTGTACATTCAAGACCTTGACGATGCTCACCTTCCCTGGGATTTCACAGATGATGCCTCATTGTTTAGCAAATTGTTCTACTGAAACCACAATCAACAATCCCGTTGGATCCAGCAGGAGCAGTGTTAGGCGGGGATGGTTACATCTAGAAGCTAATATTCATAAATACACATTCACTAAATATGACATTACATCTCCTCTAGCAATTAGCTCTCCTTATTGATTGGTTCAATGAATTACGCACGTCAGCTCTTTTCCTATATCTGGAGTGCTTAAAGTATGTTTAAGTGTGAACTGCCACCTTACTGAACTACATAGTAATCAATGGGTCACAAAACCTGAACCTTGTGCATTCTCAGTTTGTTTTTCCGAAGAGTATAAATTAAAACCCTATTTTCTGATCTTTTCTCAGTGAATTTCTCTGTTGTTTTGACCACCCTATTTCTTGCTAAAGATGGTGAGGGGTTTTTCTTACACATAAGGCACAAACTACAAGCAAAAAGTAAAGCTGTGCTGTAATATACTTCCAACTTGGCTTGTATGACAGTGTTTTACACAGAAGTACAAAAACCACTAGGAATTGGTAGATTTGACAAATACATCATTGTCCCCAAGTATCTTTTCCTAATGCTACATTGCATCATGTAGCCTAACAAAAACGTTGTGAAAGTCATGCTATGCCAAAAAAAAAAAAAAAAAAAAAAAAAAAAAGCCTCTGAAAAAGGAGGGATGTAGTCCCCAGAGGCATTTTTTTTTCTGTGTTTATAAAGTGCTCTTGCTGAGGCCAGATGGCAATCATAGCTACTTTGGGAGCATTTGGACGCATTTCAGTGTGAACCCCAAACTGCAAAATTTTCCTGAGTACCTCATTACAGCCACATACTTAAGGGTACTTCACTGTTGTCTCACACACACACACACACATACACACACACACGAACAAACAAAAAAACAAGACAAGAACTCCTCCATTCCTAACCCATGCCATGTTCTAGTTGAAGCTGTTTCTTTCTGATACAGCTAGGAAGTAAGTATACTGGGCACCAGGTGAGTGGAGAGACCAGTGAGGGGAGTGTCATCAGTAGTGTAGTTTTATTCAACGTACCTGCTCTGTGTGGAGTGCTTGTATCTGCTAGCTGAGGTTGCTTCTTGTACTTTCTTGGAGGCCAGATAGCTTGTCTATACACACCATGCTCTGGGGAAAGATTTTTCTCTGAGCAAGGGTACTAAATTGGTCCATTTTATCACTGTTGTAACAACCTGTGACTTTTATCTTTTCCCCCCTCACACCCCCCTACATTCTTAGCTCTGTTATGATAAAAAACATTATCTGGCTGACTGCTCAAAATGCAAGTTTTCATGTGTCTCTGTCTTGCCCTTTACTTACTGATAATAATCGCTGAATCCCTCCTCTATTGTTAGTTCCAACTGATTGTGATCCAGGATCTGACCTTCTCACTTTCCTCCTATTTGATTTAATTGCCTCTCTTCTCACTATTTTGCCTACCTAGTCCCAAAATTATTTCCTTTCTAGTCCTTTTGCAGCCTGAAAGTACCTCTGCCAGCTCTGGCAGCTTCTCTACTGTGCTGTGCGTCAATTTTACACCATTCTTCAATATGAGTTTCACAGATTGGTGCTCCAGAGATGTGTTGGGCACCCTGGGGTCATAATTCAGGGAGAAACCACAGAGGGCATATATATTCAAAGGAAGTGACAGCGTAAAGTCCTTCAGGAAGTCCTGCAAGCAGACGTGCTGGCCACTGAAGACCTGAAACAGATAATATTTTTGGAAGGAACTGGGGGTACATGTTCATCATTTTTTTGAGTGGAACTGTCTGGAGCATAGTAGATGAAAGAATACACTTCAGGGAAGAGAAATCTTCAAAGAATGGAGGTTATGTCAGGGAGTCATTCAGAGGTTGCCTTAGAAAGATGTATAGTTTTGGAATCCAAAGGAGTATTCAAATTTCCTTAGTTTCAACCATAACTTTTTTATAAACAGTGCAGCTAGGTCACTTGACACCAGCCACCATATGATCCAATTTGCTGGTACACAGTTCTTTGATCTGCAGTTTTCCATGCTTGAGGCTTGCCTCTGATTTTATTTACTTTTAACTTCAACTACTTTTGAAAATAATAAGATTGTTGATTTTTTAAAAATAAAACACCAGTTTTGCACATGATCAATTATGTTAGCAGTTTCTTCCTTAGCAAATACCTGCCTCATTATTCACTGAAACATGATGTGATCTCTGTTTTGAGTACATTGCTGTTCTCACAAAAAGCCACCTATGTGTGTCCATATTTTGAGTAACAGTATTCACCTGCACATTAGACACTTTTTTGCCTTCAGCAGCAATACCTTGAGATTGCTCATCCTCACTCAGCATGCTTCTCACTGTTCCTAGTGTATAGACTGTAGGGTCCGTACCCCTAACCCTGTGTGCAGTCCACAGCAAAGCATGACTTTTATGCAGCAATTACTGTTCCCACTTCTTGTCGGTCACTGTGGGAGTGAGCGCAATAATTGACAGCAGTCTTTAATAAGCCTTTTGGTGATGCAGAGGAGGAAAGCCTTCTGCCCTGAATGTAGAGAAGACAAGAAAAAAGGTGGTGAAAGTATTCAACTGGGATAAAGAATCTAGGGCAGAAGAAAGGGACAGAAAGAAATTGGGACAGGTATTTGGCAGAGCAGTCCTTTGCCCAGGGTGTTCTTCTGCCCAAGTCTTGCATTTCCCCTGAGCAGTTTAATGGCAGGAGTTCAGTGATTCACATAAGGAAATAAAGGAACCTGTCTGTTGGTAGTGAAGAAATATTTTGGTCTGGACCTTGGAATAGGCCTGAATTTGGGCTTTTCCTGATCACTGATATTTAGACTGATACTGCCTCATTCAGTTACCATGTGGATTTTATTTTGGTTTTAGGAATAAGGCTGCATTGCATATTTTTCTGTTCAGTTCACCCTGTGCTTTCTCTTACCTTTCCTTCTTTGATTGTGTTTGTTGTCTTTTTTTAAGCTCCCACCTCATTATAGTTCTGACCATACTGGCAGGCATAATTTGAAAAGATGATAGTATTAGTTGCAGAACTGTCTGTGGAGACTCCCACTGCTTGTACCGATGCCTGTGCCAGTATGACTGTTTGCCATCTTCCCATTTGTGCAGATGCATCTCTTTGTGCTGAAATCTAAGCCATGTCATTAAAATAGTGGTAACTTCCATCTTTTTTTCCTTTTTTCTTTTTTTTTTTTTCTTTTAATTGCAGAGATCTATTTGAAAGCGCAAATTGCTGTACTAACTTTACTTGCAACCCACAATGCATAGCTATGGTGAATGGCTAAGGTATGGAGAGAAAAGAAGGGTGGCGAAAGTAGTTTTTTCAGCTGGCTTCAGTGTCTGACCTGGCACCCTGTGACACTAAATCCTAAGTTCTTTTGAAAACAACAACTGCACATTTTGTCTCTCCAAATTCTCATTGGATTGTAAAGTTTCAGTTATAGAATCTCAAATACATGCAGAAAGTAAGCATCAAAATGACATTTCTAGTGTTTAGCTATGAATTATAGCTAGGGAAATTGTCTTGAGCCCCTTTGGAATGATGGTGGAAAAATTGTTTATCTGAAGTGACTCATCTGAGTGAATTCATCCACGTGGAAGAAGTTGTTTTTTTTCACCCAAGTTCACTTGAGTTAACATTCCAGTTAACTTGTTTCTCAATCATCCCCTGAGTCAGAATTATTATAGCTACCCTTTTCTGTAAAACTGACTCAGCTATACTGAAAGTAACTATAGGACTTTCCTATTATAG